AGCCACATACAAGGGGGCACATACACAGCCACAGACAGGGGGCACACACATACACAGCCACAGACAGGGGGCACACACATACACAGCCACAGACAGGGGGCACACACATTAACAGGCACAGACAGGGGGCATACACACACTGGCACAGACAGGGGGCATACACACACACTGGCACAGATGGGGTCACACACCGGCTATCTGTGATCGGAATGCCTCCACCTGTGCCGACAGCATCAGCACGTCTTTGTCCCTCTTTGCCAGCATCTCCAGGGTGTCTGAGGAAACACAGAGGAGTGTCCCAGCAGAGTGACCACAAGAAACAGTGGGAGCAGAAAGAAGCTTCACCTTACCATCCATATCCTGCCTTAATTTGATCTTCTCTTCAGAGACATTGTTATCTTCTATCATCTAGGAGGCAAGCAGATGTCAAACAGATCTTACACATACTGCTGAATGGGAAAACACTTCTGCAGCTTTTTTCACAATAGCTGCCGGAAAGAGTCTATAAAAAACTGCCAGCTCAGGTTCAGCACAGAGCAAGCTGCCCATCTCATCACTCACGTTGGCATCCTGAGGTTTCTCCTCCATGGCCTGCAGACGGTTCTCCATCACCCTCAGCTTCTCCTCCAGGTTCTGGACTTCCGCCCGGCTCTGGGCCTCCGCTTTCTGCAGAGCCTCGGAGTCCACCATCTTCTTCTCGGCCAGGGTCAGTTGCTCCTTCAGCAGGTCGTGGGCCCGGCCCTGCTCCTTGAAGTCCTCGCACAGCTTCTCCATCTCGCAGAGCCGGAGCTCTGCCATCTGCAGCTTCTCGGCGGCCTCCTTCGCCTCCAGGGCGTGCTGCAGTGCCTGTGCCTCCGCGTGGCTCCTGCAGCTCTCGCTGCTCTCCTCCAACTCTCTCTGCTGCTCTTGCAGCCGCGTCCGCTGGTCCTCTTTCTCTTTGGCCAGCACGGCCGCCTCGATGTCATGCTTGGCCTTCAGGTTCTCCACCTCTAGCTGATGTTCCATCCTGAGGCTTTCCAGGGCCGTGCGCAGCTCCAGCAGGTCTTTGTCTAGGCCTGCCTTGGCCCCATCTGTGGTCAGGGACAGCTTGAGGTCCTCCAGGGAGCGCTGGTGTTCATTCACTAAGGTGTCCAGCTTGGACTTCCAGCTGTCCATCATCTCCATGTTCTCCAGTGTGGCCTGTTGCAGCTTCTGCCGCAGGTCGCTGATCTCCTGAGTTTGCTTGTCCATGGTGGCCCTCAGCCGCTCCACCTCCCGCTTGCTAGCGCTCTGGGCTGCTTCATACTTCTCCCGCAGCTGGCTGCTCTCCTTATGATGCTCGCGGCCAGCTGTCATGAGCTGCTCCCGCAGCAGAAGAGCCTCTGTGTGGAGTCCGGAGCCGGGGTCCGCGCCCTCCACCAGACTTGGGCTTCCCAGCCTCGCCTGTAGCTCCTGGATCTCCGCCCGGCGCAGCGTCAGCTCCTCCTCCAGCTGCATGATCCGGCTCTTCTCCTCCACTGTGGTTTGCTGTGGACACAGGGGCCAGGGGACATTACTCCAGCCCAGGCTGGGGGCCACACAAACACACCTCCCTTAAAATTACCCCGGACATGCAGGGCAAGATCGAAAGCATCAGCCCATTTTCTCTTCATGCCTTCTGCACGAGCGTGAAGGATGATTCTGGAAGGCCGGATTTTGGGCCCGCAGACCTAGAGAGGAATGGAGGAACCCCGTATTTTCAGGACAGTAAAGGAAGAGAGGAGTCCCAACCCAGAAAGCTGAGCAAACCCCCAGGAAGTGAGGTCAGCTCAGAGGAAGCAGCAGGCAGGCAGGACATTCCAAGAGGCCCATCGGCATGGAGCAGGCAGGAGGACATGGGACGCCCCCCCCCCAAAAGTGCACGCTCAGGGCCGGTGTTATTGAGTGAAACACTATGTTACATAAGTGGAAATATAGCCCACCGAGTAGGGAGGAAGGAGGTTTGTTCACCATGCGGACTGTACTACCCAGGATAACCCTCTGCATGTTTCACAGCAACATGAAGGATGTTCCACATGAGCAGTTACGTAACAGCACTGGCTGTAATCTGCCTGCGTCAGACGCGTGTGACACTGCATTCAGAGGGTAGAGCAGTAAGAGTGTGAACGAGCACAGCCCGGATGGAGTTAGTGATCCTCTTTCACCTGTAGCCTCTTACCCAACCTCAAGGGCACCCCAACACGCCTGCCTGGTCCCTGTTGGCAGACAGCAGAGCTTACAGATACACCAAAAAGAGACGTTCCTCAGCCTGATAATCATCAACTGCAAACACTGTACAGCTACAGGCATCAGTCACTTATCAACAAAGGCCCTTACACTGGTTACAGCTTAACACTGCTTAGGGAAGTGGGTTTATGTTTTGTCACCGGGGTCCAGTCCTGGTTCAGACACCATTCGCTATTTAAAAAGTTCTGAATGTTCAGTCATTAAAAATGTAGACTAAGTGTTCTTAAGCTCTCGTCCTCCCATGCTGCATGTGTGCATGAATACTGTACTATGCATATTACATCATATATTCAGGTACCAGATCAGTCCTAAATTTCAAAAGCTTGTTAAAATGCATTCACATTATATCCTGCAATGATAGATCCCTTTACAATTATGGAACAGGCAGCAGAAAACACTGGATGCAAATAACCAGAAGGCACCTGTAGGGCGTCACCCTGGCTCATGGGGCATGTGAAAGCGCTAAATGTGAATCTGCTGCTGGACCCAGAGGAATAGCAGAGGAATAGCAGAGGAATAGCAGAGGAATGCGGAGAAACAGACACAGACTGACTTTGGGAGTTTGGGTTATAGTGTCGTCACTGCTGACTGAACAGTGTCACTCTGCCACAGAGGGGAGGGCAGGGTAGAGGGGAGGTAGCTGCGGGACCCAGACCTCCAACGTTCACCGTGCCATAGGACTAACTGGCTTGCTTATAGTGTATGACATTTAATTAAACAGCAGGATACTAGACTTTGGGTGCTATGTCTATAAAGGTTGCTTATACTTACAGTGTATAACATTTAAACAGTTGACACTGGATATTGAGGGCTATGTCTATAAAGGTTGCTTATACTTACAGTGTATAACATTTAAACAGTTGACACTGGATATTGAGGGCTATGTCTATGAAGGTTGCTTATACTTACAGTGTATAACATTTAAACAGTTGACACTGGATATTGAGGGCTATGTCTATAAAGGTTGCTTATACTTACAGTGTATAACATTTAAACAGTTGACACTGGATATTGAGGGCTATGTCTATGAAGGTTGCTTAGCTGGAGGCTTCGGAAGCTGACGTGAACCGTGAAGGTTGGAGACCCCTGCAAACCAGCGTGAGGCAGCCCCAAGCAAGCAGTGAAAAGCCCCCCAGAGCAGCAGCAGGGGAGGGGGGGGGGCAGGGGGACATTTCTCTTTTTCATGGTTACCCTCTTCTGGTCTAATTCATTCTGAAGCGATTCCACTTTGGAAATTTCTAACAGTAGACTGTGTTCGAGCTGCCGAATACGGGCATGCTCCAACTGCGTCTGAGTCTGCGGGAGAGAGAGAGCGAGAGAGAGACAGATAGAGAGACAGAGAGAGAGAAAGAGAGAGCGAGAGAGACAGCTGTACAGGAGGACAGACAGGCAGGGTCGCGCAGATACCTCGAGGAAACCGATATTCTTCCGGGAAAGATAGAGAAAATGACAGAAACCAACATGCTGAACAAGGCACTATACTACTATAGAAGCATCATACTATAATTATATTATAGCAATCATTATGCTATTATGCTATTACTATTATATGGAGCTGTAGTATTAAACTATCATAAGGAATTATACTTTAACACAATTATAAGGAGCTGTACTCTTCTATCAGAAGAGATTGAACTAAGGGCCTGTATCATAATACTATTATAATGTGCTGTATTACTACAATAATTCAAGCAGCTGTACTATGGTACTATTTTAAGGAGCTGTACTATGGTACTATTTTAAGGGGCTTTATTATCATAAGGAGCTGCAATATTATAACCATAATAAAGAGATACACTGTAACACTACTCCAAGGAAGGTCTCTAATGAAAAGGTGTCTAATGTGGGTTGAGCTTCTCCATTCTCTGCTTCCTTCTTCTTCTTCCAAGAGGCTTACAATGTTTGGGGAAAATCCTTGTGTTCAGAACCATCAACAGCCTTTTTCTCACTGCCAAACCTGTTCTACGCAGACTTGGGCGGCCAATCAAAATGTTTTAGTGCGTGTTATGCCAGAAAGAGTCCATTTCTCTTTCATATAGTGAAATAAAGACTCACTTGTTTATGTCACATGGTGTATCCAAAACATACAAAAGAGATTATATATCAAAATAATTCATACAAATCAGCTACTGAAAGAGTATGTTTCTGTTCAGATTATACTGAGCTCAAGGGAGGGTGCTGTTGTGTGAAATTGCATCTACATACCTCTAGATCTCCTTTGGTGATCGATTCTTCCTCAACGCGGAACTGAAGATCTTCCACTTTCCTGCAGTAACACAGAGTAGCCAGCAGAGATCAGTAAAACACCTTCTTAGCACATGTATAGCAAATATTTGAGCACAGATGTCTGACAGCACCACAAATCAAAAGAATGTTTTTGTTTCTAAAATCAGTTAAAATGTATAAGCTCCACACTATCAGATGTAAAAAGTAATCCTGAGGTCCAATCCCATCATGCACCTCTTCTCCTCCTCCAGCTGATTGGCCAGTTCTACTTTGTCCTTCTGGGTGCTGGCCAGTTGGGCTCGAACCTGCTGCAAATTGCTCTCAGCCTCTGCTGCATACTGCACTCAGAAATGAAAGACAGGGAGTTAGCACTGTCGCTATGCTTAGCGGGTGAAGCATTCAGACAGCTCTTGCACACTTTAAGATGTATGAATTTGGGTTTTCAGGTACACAGTACAGTCTCCACACTGTGGTAATAGATTTTATGGCATAATGGGCAGTGTAGGTAGGCTGTATGTCTGAGCCTTCTCTCCATGGACACGTGGACGGTGTGGCAGACAACCAATCACGGGTCTGTTATTTCTGGGGCCCCACTCAAAAAATGACTTCAAGGCCCCTCCGCCCACCCTGCCACCCCTCTATTATTTCAAAAACTAAATAAACAGCTAGTCAGTAGAGTTAGAATGTCATTGCTATCTAGCTGATTAGCAGAACCATCAGCAGTACTGTGGCACCCTTCATTGCACAGCCGTCAGTACTGTGGCATTCTACACTGCACGGTCGTCAGTGCTGCAGCACCCTACACTGCATGGCTGTCAGTGCTGCAGCACCCTACTCTGTATGACCATCAGTACTGTGGCACACTTCATTGCACAGCCGTCAGTACTGTGGCATTCTACACTGCACGGTCGTCAGTGCTGCTTCAGCATCTCCTAAATAAGCAATGCATTTATTTAATACTCAGTGTAGTGACTGTTTGTGGCCAACAGGGGGGTCCCCATGCAGATGTGTGGCTTGAGTGGTGGAAAACGACGCCACTGCAGACAGCACCTGTGCATGCTGGGCCTTTAGTGTGCTCAGCTCCTTCTCCACCTCGCAGATGTGGCTGGTGGCCTTGGCCACCTCGGCCCGCTCCAGGTCACGCTCTGCCAGCAGCTGCTCAATGTGTTGCTGCTTCTCCTTCAGGGCCTCCTGCAGAGCCGTGGTGCCTGAGATCTTGCGGGCGTAGCGCGAGGACGTCTCCGTCAGCTAGCCACAGCCGGGGTGACACAGTGAGGCCCGTTAGTGCATTCAAGTCCTTCTACTATGCTACCTTAATGCATGGCAATCGGTAGAGTGACCATGGAGGTACAATGAGTATGAGAACAATAAGTAAGGACTACAGTGATTATGGAGGTATGAATACAGAGTACAGTGAGAATGGAGGTACAATAAGTGCAGAGTATAGTGTGAATGGAGGTACAATAAGCAGAAGTACAGTGAGTAAGGAGGCACAATGAGTAAGAGTATACAGCGAGTAAGAAGAAACAGTGAGTAAAGAGGTTAGTGAAGAAGGAGATACAGTGAGTAAGGTACAGTAAGGAGTTTAGGGAGTATTGAGTACATTGAGAACGGAGGTACAATGAATACAGAGTACAGTGAGAATGGAGGTATAATGAGTAGAAGTACAGTGAGTAAAGAGGTACAGTAAGTAAGGAGATACAGTGAGTAAGGAGGTACAGTAAGGAGTTTAGGGAGTATGGAGTACATTGAGAATATAGGTACAATGAGTACAGAGTACAGTGAGATTGGAGTTACAGTGAGCAAGGAGGTATACAGAGAGCAGGGAGGACAGGGAAAGCGGTGTGGCATCACCCCCTGCCCCACAGAGTGGCGCGGCCCCCTCTCACCAAGCCTGTGCGGCTGGGCCGCCCGCCCACCGAGGAAGCGACAGAGCTGACAGAGCTGATGGAGGAGCTGCTGGGGCTATGGGCCAGGGAGGAGACGCCCATGGCCATGCGCTTGCTCTTCTTGGCCTTGGCCGGACTGGTGGATGGGAAGCCAATGCGTATCACCTTGTGTATGGGGGCAAAGAGGCCGAACTTGGGGGGGCACTGGAAGTACCTGCGGGGAGGATGACCAGGCCGTCAGTGCTACGACACCCTAATTTTAACATATGAACTGCATGGCCATCAGTACCGAAGCACCATGCACTGCATGGCCATCAGTGGTGAGGCACCCTACACTGCATGGCCGTCAATGCTGTGGCATCCTACACTGCATGGCCATCAGTGCTGTGGCACCATAAACTGCATAGCTGTCAGTGCTGCAGCACCCTACACTGTATGATCGTCAGTACTGTGGCACCTTTCATTGCACGGCCGTCAGTGCTGCAGCACCCTACACTGCATGGCCATCAGTGCTGTGGCACCCTTCACTGCACAACTATCAGTACTGCTGCACCGTATACTGCACGGCCCTCAGTGCTGCTGCACCCTACACTGCATGGCCGTCAAAACTGCAGCACCCTATATCGTGCGGCCGTCAGTACCATTTAGTACCATTCAGTACACGACTAACACCATCATGGAAGCACAATTAAACCACACAGGCATGTAGAGCTCTGCTTCTACTCTCTTCTTTGTGGTGCTCTACGAGCTGCGAGCTTCCACAAGGTTCTCTATCAGATTAATTCCTAGCCTTTCTCTCTCTCTGTAAATAGCTAACAGCTAACAGCTAAGTTAATACTAATCCTCAGTCAAGTCCACAAAGTAAACGGACAGTAAACAGACAATCCCAGGCTGGAGCAGACTGGGCCACGTTGCCTCCCTGCCATGCACGGTGTGCTTTAAACACATGAATCAGGACGATTTCCGGCACCTGGTTCCGGCCACGGCTCCATCGTTCTTCCCCAGTGGCTCGTCCAGCTCCACGCCGCACCACTCGCCCTTAGCGAAGTCCGTCTCCCCCACGTACCGCACCACGCCCGTCTTGGTCCCTCCGACCTGCCAGGTGGACAGGCAAGGCTCACAGCAGCTTCTGGATTTGCAAAGGGTTCACCCACAGACAGGCCAGTGCCATATAGACCTTTGAGGACAGCCCTCTGGGATGATCTGGATCTCAGCAGAAATGTCTCCTGAAATGCCATCTGACATTTGTCAAAGTTGTCATAATAAATACAGTTTCATTTACCAAGCAACAAACATTACATTTTATTTGACCATATCTTTACTGAACGACCAAGGTCATTGATGAGGAAAGTATATGAACTCCTAGCACAGTGTTTCCCAGTCTGGTCTCTGGGGACCCACAGACAGTCCAGGTTACTGTTTTGAGGGAGCAAAAATGTGGACTGTCTGGCAGGGAGCTCAGAGGAAGCAAAAATGTGGAGTGGTTTAATTCTGGAAAAAACCGGGAAAGCGGGGCAGCCAACGTTCCTGGGATTTACTGTCTGAAAAGAGGTCACGGCTACTTGCACCAGTGGCAGACTGAAATATGGAGATTTGGAGGAAGAAATAAAAACAGGAAGTGACACCTGGCACTAGCTGTCAGTCAAGGCCTTTCTAGAAGCTTCCCCATAATAAAAATTGGCAAAATGTGCCCTATTCCTGTCTGAATCAGTATTTGATAATTCATTTATACGAATCTAAGAATAATCCATGAGAAAAAAATCCTTATCTGATATGCTAGTTGCAGAATGACCGCCAAGTGATTTAAGCATAACGAAACGTTTGTTTCTTAGAAGGAAGACAGATATGTAGAAGAGCTGATTTGGAGCTTCTGGATAAATTCTGTATGTTGAGCTGAAAAATACCAGAAGCCAAAAGACTAATGTACATGCAAACACATCACAAGAGAAGCCTGATTGGTTGACTGCAACCTGCTGCCTGCTGGGTAATTGTTTTGGAGCTCAACAGACTGTATCCACTTTCATTTGCTGGTGAGGGAATTTTAAAAACAGAGAATCACAGTTGCAGGACTGGGATCATTTTTCAGAAATCCTTTTCTCTTCTAGTGTCCCACCCAGCTTATTAGATGCTGTAGCTGTCACCACAGGAACAGGATAACCAGTAGGAACTTCAGCAGAGGCTGATGTCATCCTGGCCGCCGCCCCATACAACCTGGTTGTCTATGCAAATATTGGGCTAAATTAAGAAGAGTACATTGCAAGTTTAACTACAGGACACATGAAGGAAGAAGGCTTACAAACACACACACACACACATAGTTCACATATTCCTATCATTGTGGGGACTCTTCATTCATTTCTATAGGCATAACCCTATAATAACCTTAACCCCCACCCAACACTAACCAAACAAAATACAAGATTTTGGCCTTATTAGTTTTTTGATTGGATTCACAGATTTTTATAGAATTGAGGTTATCCTTATGGGGACTGAAAAAAATGTTTGTAATCTGGTCCCCACAATGTAATAATTACAAAAATGCACCTTCCGAAGAATAACCCTGCAATATTTATACTCCTTCTGAAGCATCAACATTCCCAAGGGGCTGTTCCTTACCTGAACAGCCTGGCTTATTGATCTGAGCATTAAAGCAGTTCCACCATAGCACTGGGATTCATTTATGTTTATTTTGTTTTAGTTTGATTCATGTTGCGACAAATACAAAGTCCTGGTTCACTTTTTAGATTTTTTAATGTTTTGAAATCATTGTCATATTGACTACAGAACACCAGTCTGTTACAAAATCTGCTTGTGCTAACTTTTGTTTATTTTTTCACATGCCAGCTAATCTGTTCGCCATTGATCATGTGACTTTGAGCCTTTGTGTGATTCTGTCTGACGTCTTCTTCCTGTTCACATCCATCTGGCTGCGCAAAAAGCTTCTGGCAATCTTCTTCCCCATCCAGCCATGCCATTTGCAGCAATTCTCATTCCATCCACCAGGGGGCGAATACTTGCGCGGCAGGGTGCCGTAAACACAGAGGCACTTCCTGTCCAGAGCAGATGCTCGACGTGGCAGACATGTGCTGTGCCATGCCAGCTCTGAAGCCGTGACCACCAGAGCAGCAGAGTAGAGGCCATCTGCATGCCTCATCAAACCTACATGTAAATAACTATCACATAATCCCAAGGAGGTTAGCTGGCTAGTCATCAGTGGATCTGGTTACAGAAGCAGACTAGTAGCTAAAAGTGTGCTGGTTTAATGCCAATTGAGTTCTTGCTATAGTGGGGTACCATTTATTTCAGCTGCACCGATGGGCAAAATGGCAAGTTGTTCGATCAAGTCAATCCCTCCATCTTCTAAAGGCGTATTCAGAGTAGGGTTGTGGTGAATTACGCTAACAACAACAGTATCTATAACTGTAATAATGACAGTAATAATGGCTGACACTGACCCCAGCATACTCAAGGGGAATTTGGTGTGTGTCAGGTTTTCCGTCTGGGTTTATGTAAGGACATTATCTTCATCAACACGGGGCCTATTTCTACTAGTCACAAGTGCCATTTATCAAGCGAATGAACATGACCAGGTAAGTAAATAAATGCCAGGCACCATTTCCCTCGTTAATTATCAGGTAATTATATGAATGAACACTTCACACAATTTTCCCCATTAACAAAGTTAAGGACAGTTTAAGGTCTGGTGTAGGAAAACTCTGCCCAAGTTCTAATCCCTTAACAACCCTCACAGCTGCTTTCTCAGGGCAGCTTCCTCTGATAGCACATTTTTACAGATTAAGGGCCACATGTAGCTTGCTTGAATATTACAGTCTGCGAAAAGCTTGCAAACAAAGCTTAGAAGATGTATTACCAAGGGTGGTCTTCACATGAACAGCAATTAGAGAGGAGGTGCTGGATGAGTTACCCGGGGAGGTCTGCAAACAAGCCGCTACTGTAGAGGAGGTACTCGCAGAGTAACCCAGGGAGGTTTGCAAAGAAGGGGCTACCGTAGAGGAGGTACTCGCAGAGTTACCCAGGGAGGTTTGCAAAGAAGGGGCTACCGTAGAGGAGGTACTCGCTGAGTTACCCAGGGAGGTTTGCAAACAAGCAGCTACCATAGAGGAGGTACTCGCTGAGTTACCCAGGGAGGTTTGCAAGTGAATGACTGGTATAGAGGAGGTGTTGGCAGAGTTACCTGGGGAGGTTCTCAAATGAATGGCTAGTATAGAGGAGGTGCTGGTGCAGTTACCCAGGGAGGAATTCAAACAAAAGGCCGGCACACATGAGGTGCTGAGTGACCTGGGGGGGTTTGCTGTGACCTTCTTTGACAAAGTAAGACCCACAGTCAAAGTTTCACCTAAATTATTCATTTTTTTGTGCTAATGACCTTATTATAGGGAATACTCATAGATTATGGTTCTGCACGCTGCCCCTCCCAGCACACCCCCCACCCCTACCCCCACCCCATATATCTGCATTCAGGTAAAGTATCAGTTTCGGGGCTAAATCGGTGAGCCTCCTGAAATTTCAACACACCATTTACATGTCCAGCACCTCAAACACCATCGTCCCAAAGAGCCGAACTGACATTGGGCTCCCCTTCAGAGACTCGCTGCATGCTCATGGTAAAAGGATACAGAAACCCAGAGTAGGAATACTGCCAGCAATAGTATTCTGGTACCTCCTTCGTTTTTACTGTCGGCTAGTTATATGTCAAAATAGGATGGCGAAAGGTCATCTCTTGTCATATACACACTTGCAAGAGTCAAGATACATTTGTGCAGTTTGCCATCTAGATTTAGTTAACCCGACTATATTGCCAAGAAAAGTGAGCAAGGCTTGATTTAGCTGAAAATGGGGGTAGTATAGATTACAATACTGCAAAGTGCAGGGCAGTAGCTGCATCAGGATGGGGAGGCAAAATCACTGATTCCCTCCCTTTGCTGACCTAAGACAACTGCTAATTGATCAAATGACTGAGTGCCTGTAAAGTCAGCTACAGCCACAGAGAACAGCCACTTACTGCCAGCTTTGTTTCTGCTCTAGCAGGGAACCTCGTCTTCCTCTGAAACCCTGACTGTCCAATCACAGCCGTAAACGGAGCCTCTTCGGGGACATAAAACAGGGTCTTCTCCTATTTCAGGATCACAGCTCTGCAGCCTGATCAAGCGATGGGTAACAAGATCCGGTGAAACGGGGAGAATTATCTCCATGGGATGCCACACAAGCCAAGTGATAAAGGGTTTGGAAAATGGTTATCCACTGTGGTCCGTCGGGAGACACAAAGGTCAAATATTGGACCAGCAGACTGTGATTTAAGACAAGGACTCCCAGTGTCACTGACTTGATTCTTTCCATATTTGGCAGGGTCATTCACTCCATCCTTTAAGTAATTAAGAGGCGTGATGCTTGAATCTTACATGTGAGAGAATTCGCAGAAGGAAATCTGCAGGTGGACTGCTCTCTTATATCCTCGGCATAAACAGACTCTCAGGATAGGTAGCCTTATAAATGATGTCTAATGATTGTGTTGTTTGGGTCTCTTATGACAAAACCATCCAAGCAAAGAATCAGTTATTATCCCCTCATCAGGTGACGTTAGACTTATCTATACTTATACTTTATATGTCACATACATGGTTATACAAGTATAGCATGTACTGAAATGTACCCTGAGCGACCCTTAGACTGTGCAAATCAAATCAAAAATAGAATTAAGAATAAGTCAAAAGTAAAAAAAAAAAATAATCTTACAATAAGTAAGATACAATAACTAAAAATGTAGAGGAATACTGAAGTCCACCAGAAGAACTAATATAGGAAATAATTTATGGTGAAAAACTGTACATGTGCATGTGATGACAGAGCTTTATATTTAAAGTGCAGGTAACATAAGTATAACTATAAATAGATATGAATATATGTAAATATAGCAGTAAAGGTGGAAATGCTAAATGCTATGTGAAATGCTAAAGGTTATAAACCCTCATTAAGAAACATATGTGGCTGTCAACGATCCTGCTTAATGAAACACTGAGGGAATTAGTGGAGAAATCTACGGCATCACATAGACTGCCTTGCCTCTGAAGGAAAATCTCAGGGATTTACTCAGCTAGCCTGCGCTGGTGAAGGTTTGTCAATGCTCATGCTTGTCTGTAGTGAGTAAGGATGGAGTGGGGATTGCTCGAGACGGCAATCCCCTCAGATCGACTGTATCGATGGCTTGGAGAGCTTTTAGCACATGTGTTGGTGAACAGAGTTCCCCATCCTTTACGTCTTTTGAATTGATAGCCCACAGCCATCTGTGTCCTTGGGAGCCATCAGTCAGGGTTGTGCTCTACGTATCAGAATGTGAGCACAGGCACCACCCTGAATAAGTGGATGGTCTTTCATGGGAGGCAGTGACCTTTCACTTAAGATACAGACATATCACTTAAGATATGTGCACACACATATAGGTCATTTAATAATTTTGAATACTTTGAAGTATTTACAGTTGCCTCTATTACTATACTGGCATGAATCGTTGGGACCAATGGAGTCAATACTCTTCAAACAATGACAAATTACTGGCACGTAATGGACATATAAAGATGTGTTATTGTACTGTATTTATTTAGCTAGCTTGAGTACAAACTGTCAATGCTGCAGAGCTTTCTTGGATATTAATACCAAGTATAGCCATTGCTGTGCCATTGCCGTCCCGAGTAACCGCAGACCACAGGAGTGCAAGCGGCGGTCAGGACTCACCAGCACACGGTCCCCCACGCGGAGATCCTTATCGCCCCCCTTCTTGACGGAGCCGCTGTCAGACATGTTGGAGCCGGACTCGTTGCCCGTTTTGACAGAGCTGTTGAGCATGCCCTCCCGCAGGGGCACCCCAACCCGCTGGGCTGAGGGGGTGGAACCACCGTGGAGCGTCAGGTTCTGTGCGGTAAGGGAGTCCGTGGAATGGGCATCGCTGGCGTCTGCCATGGGCTGCCGGGTCAGCTTGGAGGGCCGCGTGAAGATGCCCTGCATGGGCTGGCACTCGAAGTAGCGCACGCCGCCAACGGAGCCGTCGTTTTTGCCCACTGGCTCGTTCAGAACCACCCCTGCCCATTGTCCCGGGGCAAACTGGGTCTCTCCCAGGTAATGGATGCAGCCCGGCTTCACCCCGTTGACCCATACCCGCTCGCCGACCACAAAGTCACCCAGCACATCGTCCCCCACCTCCGACACCTTGCTGCTGGATTTGTCAGAGGTGCTGCTGGGGGCTGCGGTGCTCTGTTTGTGGGGGGGACCTGGGGCAGAGAGAGAGACAGCAGGTTGATGCCTGATTCTGTAGCTTCCCCATCATAATGACACCCGAATCCAGGCATTAAAGTGAAAAGGCCAACATGGAAACAGACAGAGTTCACAGAATCCTCAGCAAAGTGAATCATGCTGCTGGTTTTATATCAGAGGTAGAAATTTCAGGTCCAGAAAGCAAAAATCCAGACCAAGATTTTGTTTCAACCAACCAGTTGACTATTCTGTGATTGTGACTCTTTATAGTCAACTGGTTGGTTGAAACAAAATCTTGGTCTGGATTTTTGCTTTCTGGACCTGAAATTTCCACCTCTGGTTTGTATGCAGGGACTGAAGAGTCTAATACCGCTAAATGTCATAAATGAGCTGATGGGCAAAAATGTCAGAAGCCTTATACAATAAGGCATTCATCTACAAAGCTTGGTACATATCTGCCATTCACTCCATGGGTGCAGAATCTGGGTCACCATGGAGTGCTCTCACAAACTCAGCAGTGACACCTAGAGGGCTTATGCTTGTAATGACGCAGGAGACCCTGAGACGACGTTACAGCCATGACAGTATTAGGCTACCAAGCGGGTACACAGATTCTTAAACATATGGTCTCCTCCCCTAATTGCCATGAGGGGGTTTGGGGGGCTGGGGGGGGGGCCCTGCCACTCCATTTGGGGGAGAGGGGGGCGCTACACTACATTTATGGCCCAATTCACCCCATATGTTCTCAGATAATGGAAAGAGCAGTGCATAAATGCAGCACACAAGATCACTGAGGAGTCCCTGAAATGTCAACTAAACAGCACAGCTCTTCTGCAGTGCATTAAATTACCCAGATCTTAAATTCAAGCTATCTTAGATTTAACTGCAAATAAATTGGCGCGACGTGCAGAGAAAATCATCAGCTGTTGGGTCTTGACCATCAAAGACCTCGACTCATCCAGGATGAAGAAGAGGGCGAGGAAAATCGCAGCCAACCCCTCACACCCTGATCAGCCCTAAAAACTCCGACCAATCGCCACCTCCAGAGCCCCTTTCCTCAGGTCATCATCCTTTAAAACAAACACCCTTCTGATACCCCTTTGTTTTAGACTGCTGCACATGCGATTTATTATATGTACTGTAATGCACATGACTACTGTCTATCCCATACTATAAATTTCCACTGGCATTAACCCCAGCACAAAAACTGTGCGCTGGGAGCTGCCTTCCACAGCCTAACAGCTACTTGCAAGCCTCACACCACCAAGTGCAATTCTAACCATCAGATGCAGTGGGGTGTAAAACATGCTGCCACTGGACTCTGGAGCAGTGGAAACATGTTCTGTGGAAACGTATTGTCTGTCTGGCGGTCTGATGATTGAGTCTGGGTTTGGCGGAAGCCAGGACAATGATTCCTGCCTGACTGCATTGCACCAACTCTAAAGTTTGGTGGAGGAGGGATAATGGTATGTTTGGCATTGTTTTTCAGCGGTTGGGCTGGGTCCTCTAATTACAGCAAAGGGAACTCTTAATGCTTCAGCATACCAAGATAATTTAGACAATTCTATGCTTCCAACTTGTGGGAACAGCTTGGGGAAGGTCCTTTTCTGTTTCAGCATGACTGTGTCTCAGTGCACAAAGCAAGGTCCATGAAGACATGGTTGAGTGAGTTTGGTGTGGAAGAACTTGACTGGCCCACACAGAGCCCTGACCTCAACCCCATCAAACACCTTTGGGATGGACTTGAAGGGAGATTGTGAGCCAGGCCTTCACGCCATGCTCTTCTGGATAAATGGGCAAAAATTCCAACAGACATACTCCATAAACTTGTGGAAAGCCTTCCCAGAAGAGTGGCAGCTGTTATAGCTGCAATGGGGGGGGGACAACTCCATATTGATGTCTGTGGATTTAGAATGGGATGTCAAAAAATTCCTGTAGGTGTAATGGATAGGTGTCCCAATGGTTTTGTCCATATAGTCTATGTGAGGCCATTGCTCCATGTTCATATGAGCAGTGAACATATCTGTGAGGTCATTATTCTATGCTCACCATGCTCACATGCCTAGGAAACATATCTGTGAGGTCATTACTCCTTGTTCACAAGAGGAGTGGACATATCTGTGAGGTCATTACTCCTCGTTCACAAGAAGACTGGACATATCTGTGAGGTCACTACTCACACATAATTTTATGTTCACTTCCATTTCATTTGCATTACATTTCATTACATTTTCATAATACTGCTAAAAACAGCAGTTTCATCTGCTTTCTCGGATAAAGACAATTGTAACATTCCATTGGTTACAGGTTTTTGTAACGTTTTTTTGCAGTAAATAGTAAAAAATACCAAATATGAAAAGAAAATATTTTATTTTTTAAATTATATTTTATTTTTTCAGTTATTTTATTCCGGTGACTACCTATTACTGAACACGTGAATATGCTGATTAATTTCCGTTCCAGCTCTGGCCATTACATCAGCTACCTTAACGCATATTTAACTAGAGTTTACAATACATATCTGAATTTACCTCACGCTCTTTGATCAAATATCTTCCATGGCTCCAAAAAGAATTCCAACTTATGGATTCTTTCACATTTTCCAGCATGAATGCCAGTGCAAACAAAACCAGCAAAACCAGTTTCATATTAGGGATGGTAAGGTTCACCAACTCGCATCGGTGCACCGGCATAAAAGCTCACGATGCGACTGCCTTGATAAGAAAGGTGTGGACTGGATACAATTTGGGATGAACTCGAGATACATCGTTTCTAACATCTTTGCATCTGTAAAATCCGATTTATTAATGCAGAATAGTGAGTTAAATCATTTTACTGTCTTCATTTTTATTTTGTTGTTTTATTTTGGTGGGCAGTGGTGGCTTGATGGTTAGGGAAGCACACTTGTAATTGAAAGATTGCAGGTTTGAATCCCCGACCAGCAAGGCACCACTGAGGTACGCTGAGTAAGGCACCGCCCCCAAGCACTGCTCCCCGGGTGCTGAATTAGCTGCCCCCTGCTATGTCACACAAGTCACATATGGGTTAAATACAGAGGACACATTTCGTTGTTGCGCACTGTGTGCTGTGGTGTGTTAACAATGACCACTGATCTCTAAATTCTAAGTCATATTCACCTCCAGACTGTATTCACCATCACCCACCTCTCCCATGATATCACACACCCCACCAGGTCAGAACCCCTCCCTCACCACGCTACATGACATCACCAACACACTCCAACACAGAGTGTCAGGACAGGAGGGTCCCAGCCTGGATTACTAGTAGAGCCCGTATGCCTCATTTAGAAATGTGACCAATAATTTCTGACCAGTTTTTTAATATTCAGATTGATTCCCCCTCTATAAACTGTTTCACAAGCACACTCTCATCTCTCCAGTGCTGTCAGTGGCCAATTCCCCGCAAGTGTCGCGGGAGTTGAAGGCTTGTCCGGGGATGCATCACATCGAATTGCACTGCATCACAATAGGGTGAATCGTATCGTGTCACAATAGTAGTTGCTTCATGTGAATCTTTAACATATTGGATCACTGGCAAATGCATCGAGATGTGTATTGTGTCGCCTTACACAGGGAGATGCACATCCCTATTTCATACTTCATCTTAACACTAATCAGTGCCTAACATGCGAAATAACAGATGCCAGTACTCCACTTGCTATGCAGTGCTGACATGTAAGAAACACTGCCGGTTCTCTGAGGGGAAAAGCAGTGGCAGTACCTGACCGTACCGATCAGCACAGGCCCACTGCAGCGCGGACCCTAAGCCATACCGAGTCCTCAAGCAGTATTTTCTCAAGAGTGTACTGGATGCGTTCAGATGATGACTCGTGATTTCAGCACTAATCATTAGCATAAAGTTTTAGCGGTTAGTGCTGTGTTCCACTGATCTCTACTCCTACTGCTCCCACCTGTGTCAATGACCCTGATTTGTAAACACTATGCATGTTAGTTTTATCAACCTGACATTGTGATAAACGTGCTCCGTCCCCCCCCCCAGCAGGTAAAGCACGGAGTGCGGATGAAGAGCACAGGCCTTGCAGCAGACACCAAATCCCTCCCTGCCTCCCCATGTCTTGTTGCCACACTGCTTGGCCGGCCAACCCGGTTTCCAGGGCGACGGGAGATCAGGCAAAACGAGCCGTGTGAGGAGAGGGGGAACACAGGCCTCATTTTCACTATTGTTCCCGGTCACCACCCACTCTGTGAATTCCTCCATTCACTAGAAGCGCACAATGACCCCACCGCTACCCTCAGTCGGGAGGGGGGGATGTAATTTGAAGCCTGCTCGGTCCACGGGCCGGGGCCAGGGCAAAGCCAGTGACAGGGAAGCTAAACTGCCCTTAATGGGGACTCTCTCGGGCATTAACATGCTAAGGCTTCTCCGTTTATGCTGTCTCTGAGTAATGCTTCCTGTGTAACTCCCACACACTCAGGAGACACGCTCAGCTGGGGAGTCTATCTCATTATTTTAAAATCACCAATGTTTACAAAAAAGTTCTTGAACACAGGCATTCATGTGTCCAATGGTTAGCAGAAGTGTAACACAGCAAATTATTTGACTGTAAGGCCGATTAAATTACTGCTTGCAGGCACACTTCAGATTCTGCAATGCACTTCTGCTGTGACTTCGCAGCAGTTTAACCCGTTCAGTGGGGGTCTGCTTGTCACTGCTTTAGTGAAGCATAAGGATGATGAACAGGAAATCGCTGTCAAAGTACTTCCTGCTAAGAGTAATTTAGAGCAGCTATGACTTAATGCCCCTACTGCCGCAGCAGCTGGGTTTAAACATGGTTTACAGAGAGCGCCTTTTTAAAGAAACATGAGGTGCAGTTATTTGCCCAAATGTGATCCTTCAGGATTGCAAAGGGGCAGACAATTTATGGTAAATTTCTGCAAACTTTCCAGAAACTTTCAATTACATGGGAAGTTAAGCCGGAGAATTTTGGAAATATTCCAGGCTGGAAACTTTCCATGGGAATTAGCAGGAATATATGGAAATTAATGGGAATTAACTAGAAATTTGGGGTAATTTGTACAAACTGTATCATATACAAACATATTTTGTTCTGTCATAAGCAGAATGCATGCAAACATTTGTGATATAAATAAAAAAAAAAAAATTTTTTTTGCATTAAATATGGTTGTTTTAACCAAGATTATGCTACAAGATGTTTTTTTCAACTACATTTAAGTTCCCTGTTACAGGCTAACCTATAATTTTGCTAATTTCCAGTTCATTCCCTTATATTCCCATTAATTTCCATACATTCCCATTAATTCCCATGGAAAGTTTCCAACTTCAAGGACAGTGCTAAGGGATCCATGGAAAGTTTCCAACTTCAAGGACTAGTGCCCGTCTTCCTGTCAAGCACTAGAGCGTCAGACACAGCGGCTTTATCAGCCCAGAGTGTGAGCTCAGCACTGCAGCACACTGGCTCACATGGAGCCCAGGAGGAAACCGACCTGCCAACCACCGGATCGAAACCCAGCAGCTCAACAAACACAACTGGGAATGCAGGATCTCAGGCCGAAATGGAAGTAGCCCCCTGCACATGACCCCTGCCGATGAGGAATGGCAGTTTATTTTAGGAACGTTGCGAAAACGTGAATCGACTGGTATCCCAACGCACTGAAGAATACCGGTGCTGTCTTTAAAGGGTCTTAAAGGCGAAATCATGTGACCTACACTGTCTGCAGCAGCAATGACAGCAAGAACAAGGACAAATCCAGCAGCTGGGAGCCCCTGAGTGGCAAACAGCCCACCGTCACGACGATTCATCACGCTAATTCTACAAGAGGGCCCCGGACGCCCAAATTCCGAGACAGATTGACATTGAATACGCTGCACTGACACTGCTGGCTGACCGATGTGCTTGATACAGACGAGGCTCGTAGACAGAGGCCTTGTCACTGTGATGGGAGCGTGTTCACACTCACAGGGACGGGTCAGGGCAGGCGGGAGAACGGGAAGCGTCACCATCAACAAGCAAGGTGACATTCCTAAATCACTGCACTTCCTCTCAGAATGCTTGGCACAAAACAGTCACAGGGGTGTCCAGAACACTGCCAGGACAACATTTAAGAATGCTTGCACCCTGCCTAAATGTGAAGACGTGTACTGCATGTACCAAAAAGCAATATTCTGACTAATTTACAAAAACACCTGCATATTTGTAAACTGGACTATCAAAGACTTTATTCCTTTTTGAAAGGCTCAAAACGTCTATTATAAAGGACTTTTATTATGAACATAAATGCAGACCAAAGGCCATAACCTAACTGAGTAATTGTTCCAAATACCCACACCATAGGCCTCCCCTCATTGTTTGTGCGGCTTTGGAACACAAAAAGCAGACATGCAGTTGGTTGTAAATCAGTAACAGCTGTTTGTCAAGCAACTCCATTGGCTGCCAAAAGGCAAGGGATTCTGACTCACAAAGCTGAGGTTTCAAGAGAGGAAAATCAGTATTTAACAGTACACTTTCACAGGTGTAAACATCCAACTGTAAAAATGCATCAGTCGATGGACCATCGTGTAAGAACTGACATGAATTATTTGCCACCAAGAACCATATCCTACCCAAGCTGCAACGCAAACTGGTGGTTTTCCATTGTTAATTATGCCAGCCGTACCCACGCTGACATGGCCGTGCTTACTAGCAGGAACAAAAGTGTGACTAAACCGAGATGGTTGTGTCACCACCATCTGATTGGTCAAAATGCATGGAGATACTGGTGTTTTGCATCAGTATGCATAGATTATTCTATCTGAAGGAAAATAGGTCATATTCTACATATTATTCATTATTAGTATTATAGCACATCGCAATGTATCGATGCATTAAAGATAACTCGAAACCTGAAAATTTCCAATCAAGTACTGTAACTCTCTTCTCGATACCAAGATACCACTGTCAATATCAATCGGTTGCTGTATGCCAGTGGAAAAGTGCTAATACTGAATTCCAGTAAGAGACATTCTACTTCCTGTCCTCCTAAGTGATGTCACACTGTATTCCACTGAAAGACATTCTACTTCCTGCCCTCCTGAGCGATGTCACACTGTATTCCACTGAAAGACATTCTACTTCCTGCCCTCCTGAGTGATGTTACACTGTATTCCACTGAAA